GCTGATCGATAGACTGATCACCTATCGATCTTTCTTCCCGTCGCCGAGCGCAATCCCAGACGTACCCTTTTCCCACCGGCTTGAATTGCGGACGGATTGACTGGCTTGGGCCCCGCCAGCTGGAACAACCCGTGTGGTTGTTCAGACGACCGGACCACCTGCGTCGTGATTGCAAGCAGCGTGAGTAAAGTTTTTGCAACCGATAAGTTGTGTCTGCCTCTCCATTCACCAGCCCGCCCTAACGTACGAGCAATTTCTAACTCAACTCGAGTCGGCTCTGGCCGTCCGAGACACAGTGGTAATCAGGTTCAAGGCCCTAATTGAAGCCTTTCATTTCAAGTGATATGCTTCTATCCACTTACTATATTTATTTGTTCTTTAGTGCCAGTAACTAGAAAAAGGTCAGACTTGGAAGAGTACAGTATACAGCCATTTCTCAATATCGTGCCAAATTCTACTTGCTTTAATAATTTGAGTAGTCTCACTGAAATTATGATATGACTAAGGTGAATATAACAGTATGATACAATTTGGCTATAGTATGTGAAATTTTAACAAGTAAAAAACTAAAGTTATACTTTTAAATTTGAGTACATTTTATCTGAAGCTAAACTTAAGGTTGGTCACTTATTTCTCATTATTCCTGAGGGGAAAACAACAACAAAAAACCTAAATAAAAAACCTGTTGAAAAAAATAAGGATCTAAATCCTGCCTTTCTTACTGCAACTTTGGATCTACTTAAAATGTCAAAACAGGATTTTAATTCATTGCACACTTAATCATATTTTATAATAGCCAAAACAAATGTGAAACTGAAGGGGTATGCAACCCAAAAGCAACTATGACAGTTTCAGTCCATGTCTATTTAAGATTAATTTGAAAGATTAAGAAAAGTAGCCCTATTGTCCTTTTGAATTATACTTTACATAAGAACATCAGCAGTCTTAAACTTGTAACCTAATATTTAATTGTAAATATGAAGTTACAAGACAGTGAAAAAGATCTTAGTTTAATTTACTTCTTTGCTTATTCATACGGTTTAAATCTTGCATGCTCTTTTCAGGCACAACTCACTCACTATGACTTCAAAAAAAATGTGTTTTATTGAGGAATTCAAAATATTGTCCTATATCCATTTTGAGGCAATTATAGGGCCAAACCCTACAAACTTTGTTAGGCAAACAGTTTTACTGATTTATCTTGGGACTCATTTCTACAGGCATGTAATGGAAAAGTCACATCCAAAGTAGTATCACTAACTTCACACTTAGACTAAAATTAACAATGAATAATTAGAATTAGAATTTATAATGAATATTGGAATTATTGTATGTAACACTATATAAACAAATTAGCTATTGGACACCTTTTGATGATTATGTCATTTAAAATGATAATGTTTATTACTATTTAATATTTATTATTACTATGTCAATGTGTTTAATTCTTCATGATTTTTGGTGTCTGCTTCCAATTCAACAATGTTCATGCTAGTGAAATTATTCTGGACGAATCAGTTCTGAAATGGTGGCTACGGTGGCACGGGCACTCAAGCACATGGTTGACAGCACAGGGGTCGCAACTGCACAGCCATGTCAGATTCAAACAAATCTGTGAATTCTGCTAAAAGTCTTGTTAGAAGGACAAGGATTAGGGAGGGAGGAAGTTCTGAGACCTGACTAAAATATGGCTTATTCAGGCATAGGTCATAATGATATATGGAAGGGAGCCTCATCTGAGCATATCCTAGACATTTCCCGTTTGCCATTATGATAATATATAAAATTTATCCCAAGAGTGATATTACTGTACCTACAGTATGAAATTAATTTTGTTATTGGCAGATAAAGATAATAAGTCGTTATAAAAGGTAAATTTTCTTTCCGTTACTAAAAAGATAAGAATTTGCAAACTAGTTAAGATGTGACAGTGCTATATATATATTTAAAAATATATGAATTTTAAAAAAAATGCATAAACATATATAGATTTACTATAATTAAGAAGCAAGTTTTTAGCCTTACCCAATAGGCCTTGAAACAATGATTTCAACTTGAGGTTCTGATTTTGACTCTAAAATAATGTTGTAAACTTCTTCATTTGTAGCTCCAGGCAGGGGTTTACCATTCCATTCTAGAACTTCATCCCCTTTAAGTTAAAAAGAAGTGCATTTTTTATTGCATTTTCCACATTTTTTCCCAAAAAATGAAAAACATATTATAAAGCCTATGTATCTCTTAAGTTATATTTCCCCAAATCAAATATTCTCTTGTGGATTGGATATTACATATCCTCTTGGATTTGATATCCTCTATTTTAATTTGTCAAACTACCACTAAGGTTGTCAAACAATACCATATTTAAATTGAACAATTTATGAAAACATTTTAGTATTTTAGAGATAATATAGCAACAGGCATAATACCATGAAATGAAGCTGTATAGTACCTTTTAAGAGACACTTTATTAACGAGACATAGTATCCTCTTTATAATAGTCTGATCTCCGAAAAAATAAAATATTGTGTGTCTACCAGTACAACCATACAAATCACAACATTTTTCATTGTGAGTTACATAACATATGCTCAATGTAACCTTTGCATCTAAAGAACAGTCTTCATAGCCTGTATCAAATGAACAAAAGAAGGAAAAGTAGTAGATGAATCAGTGTTCCCAGACTGAATCTGATATAGAATTGTTGGATGTTACTCTCTTCAGGTAGCCAACAGCTAGAATCCAACAGGCTTCATCAGCATATTTGACAATATTAAATCAGGAGGGAAAGCTTTAAAAATAATTTATATAATTTATACAAATAAGCATTTATAATTAATATTCAGGAAATCAATAAGTATATGTATTCTTTTAGGGCCATTATAAGCAATGGTCAAAAGCACTGCAGCACAATGCTGCATGACGTAGCATTTACTTTTATTAGCATATAACTTAGGGATGGTGATTTAATGTTTTTCAGACAGAGTATTGAACCAACACATCAGCAGCATGGCATCAGGCTGTGCCTCTGGAGCTGCTAGTTTTTTATGAGATCTAAAACAAATACTTAAACGTGTACTTTTTAACAAACCAAACAAATGGTCCATAAGAGAAAAAGTCCATCCTAGTCAAATGTTGAGACTGTTGTACCCTGCCTTCTTTGCCAGAAAGACAATTCTAGGTATAAGAAGCTAGAGACCTGATCACAAACTCAGTGCTTTAGGGATGATTCTATCCTGAGCAGGGGTTTGGACTAAATTACCTCCTTGGCTTGGGACAATCATTCAAAAAGCCTGAGCCTGAATTGATTCAATCTTTTCAGGTTAGTCTAACCTGGCTAGGCTGAACTGGTTTGTAACTGGACAGACATTGTCTCTGGAGTCAGGAAATTCAGGCACATGCCTACATTGACTCAGGCTAGAAGCCAGAGAATGCTAGAGCAGCCCTCCCTTTCGTTGCACAATGCTGAGCTGGGGGAGGGGGAGGAGTGGGGCGGGGCGGGGCATGGTCAGGCCCCAGCAGATTGCTTTAATTAGGGATGTCTGCCTGCACCATCCCAGGTTTTTCCCTACTGGCTGCTCATGAGGTGGGAGTGTTGCCAGCCCCCTGCTAGCACGCTGAGGCAAGGGAGGGGGTGTGCAGTGCATGCATCTGTTGATGATCCTGAGCTTTTCAATCTCCCTCCCTGCTTCTTTATAATGTTTGCAGCAAACTGACAGGTAACCAAGCCAGCAGAAGGCTGATAATAGTGTTTATTACCCTATCAGCAAAATAATAGCCTCTCTCCATTAGTTCAAACTCTTCTTAAACAGCTTACCAGCTGCCTGCTAATTAGTTCCAAAAAGCCCTAAGTCAGGGGTCAACAACCTGGGGCACATGAGATTATTTTGATTGGCACCATAGATGGAGGAAGAAAAAAAAAATCTTAATCACTGATTTCTGTGCACACAAAAGTATTTTCCAAGACATTAGATACAGACTTAAAAAATATATGGGAAACCCCCAACAGCCTTAGCTTTTATTTACAAAGCTTATGTTTAGCTCTTAAAGAACTGCAAAGTATTTACTACTATTTAAAAATAGCTAGCTTTCCTTTTTCCTTTCTAGTTTCTAGGGACCTACTTAAATTGAGGTTTTCTGATTTTCACAGAAACTGCAAAAATAGTGATTTCTGCAATCCCCACAAAAATGGCATTGGCTGTGATTTCTCAGGGAATCAAATAAAAAAAATGAATAAAAATAAAATGCTGGCTCTCCAGTGAGATCCAAGAGTCCTCGCTGCTCCTAAAGCCTGGCCTTGCAGCCCTCCTGGGAGGGGAAGGTGCTGGTTAGTCAAGTGGCACAAAGGGCAGCAGCCAAGTTGGCAGCTGCCCCTTGTGCCTCTCCACTAATCAGTGCCAAGGGGTAGGGCTGCATGAAAGGCAGCCAGCAGTTAAGATGGAAGCCACCTCCTCATCTCTCCTCCCATCAGGGCCTCTTCATTACAAAGCACCCATGGGTGGGGCTGCCACAAAACAACCATGAAATCAGCTTTTCAGGCCATGAGCAAGCAGTGAAAATTGCTTCCTCTCACTGCAAGTTAGATAGGTCTCTACAAATACATTATACAACATATGATCATTATCCCACTTATTCCATGATCTAGACCAGTGGTGATCAACCTTCTAGCCCCATGGCCTGGATGAGTGGCATAGTGCTGGTCCATGGGCCACATACCCAGGCAAAGTTGATCTGTGAACTGAATCTACCATGGGGTAGGTGCACAGAGTCAGGTCTCAGTTGTGAACAACACCACTGGCTCAGATGCCACCACTCTCCTGTTGCCAAAATTTCAGGACCCATGGGGAGCCCTACAGACCAGATGACCAAGCCCCACCAGCTGAATTAGGCCCAGGACTGGCAGTTGAACACCACTGATCTAGGCAAATAGATTCTAGTATAGATTGCTAGAGCAATGAAACCTAATTTTAAAACTGGTTTATTGATATCATCATAGAATACTACCAAAAAAATGAAATACAGCAAATTACAATGAGAAAAAAAATAAGGAAAAAAGGAAATATTGTAAGTTCCCAATCACTAAACCACACTTGTTTTTTCAATAATGTTTCACTAGAACAAAGACAATAAAAACAACTGAAGAAGTTTTTGGTAGCTTCACTTTTAGCATCAGATCTAAATGCAGCCCCCCCTAGACAGCATTATATGTTACTGCTGTTGTTCAATTAAACTACTGCACACAAAAAACATTCATTAAAAATTATTTGAGGAAGCCTTTTTATTTCTTGACCTGCTACCATTTTCTTTTTACTTATACTAATAAGCTTTGTTTTTTTATATGCATTTTCTCTGTATTTGCATTAATATTACTGGTGATACTTAATAGCAATTTTAGCAACTTATCAATAATTAATGTCTTGAACTTTATGCATACATCTAAGCCGTATGTAAATATCTAATGATATAATAGGTGTAAAGTTATTAAAACTTTTCACAGTAGCATCAAAACCAATTTTTGTTATGTACCATAATTTTTATACATGTACATACCCATTTCCCACATATTAGTAACATTTTTATTATAGAAATTAACACAAATAAGAAGGTTACCTTAGTACAATCAATTTCTTTACCTGCTCTTAGATGCCCCACCACATCAGCAAGGCTACCCTTCTTTACTTTGGTAATGAAGGCACCAAGACGTCCTAACTCAGTCATTTTTCCTCCAACAACCTGAATAATCACAAATTTGTGAGATTCCAATCCATAAACTGGACAATATATTAAGGAGTTTAATTAAATGATTTTGTTTATACAGTTTATTCATTCACATTAAAATTATTTTTAAAACTGGGAATGAATTTATTCATAATGGACTCTGTTTATCATGAGTCATATCTTTAAATTAACTCTATTCAGAAGATAATTCCACATATACCAAAAGGCCAGTATTATTTGCACAAAGTACAACTGTGACACCCACAGAATGAATAAAAACTGAAATTATCTTTATGTTCCTCTTTAATATATTAGTTTAATTAATCCAATGCAGTATTTTTTTAAATCTGAAATCACCGAATATGACTTTGAGACAATCAAGAAAACACATTTTGTCCAAATCAATCATTAACTGTTTGTGATATCCACAAGCGCAAAACATTCTTAATAAACATGTCAGCATAAAGTTGCCAAAAGCCATTAATACAATAATAGATACCACAAGTAAAAATAATATGTGCAATACTAAAATTAAAGGATCGTCACCATTGGCCAAGAACAATAGAAAGTGACACTCTTTATCAAAATATATGATAGAATATAAAGGAAAGAGAGAAGCAGCATTCATAGTAAACAGACCTTTCCTGGTTTCTACTGAACAGAGATGAGGTGATTACACTCCTAAGAAGGATGTATGATACACAGAGAGAAAAAATTATACAAGTTACTTCAAGGGCGTGAGGGTAAAGAAGAATGCTAAAACTTCTTTCTTCCCAGCAGACAGAAAATGCTGGACATCTAATTAGCCATGCTCCAGCAGACTTGATTAATCAATTCTGTTCTGACCTGTGCTTATTAGCATGCATCGGAGCTGGCATCGGGCACGTGTCCAGGTGCCCTAAAGTGGCAACAAGCACTGCAAACTCAACCTCCTCTCATGAACCTCCAGACAGGAATTGGTCAAAGTATTTGTCAGATACTCAGTATCTGCTAGAACTAGGTTCTAAATTTCACATTATATTTACCTGTGTATATGTCAACCTTTCTCTATTGCTATGTACATGTTGCCTGTGTGGGTTTTACAGAAAAAGTACACTGATGAATGTGTCCTGCAAGTTTTCCTGTGTCCAATCTATAGAAAATACAAATGGTTATAGCTCCCACTGTAAATTCTTAATTCAAGCTTTAACAATTTGTTTTCAACTGGTGGTCTCTGGTTCAGTTCTTCGTTTTTTCAACCAAGAGAGACTATTATACTTGTATCCAGGAAATCATATTACCATACACTATATGCTGCATACAGGCATAAAGGATTAAATTAAAAGACTCAACTATAGCTGTTATATGTTACACAATAAAAGATTGCTTCATCGACAGAATCTTATTATAGACTAGCCAACTGCCCATCAAGAATGATGGGGGGGGGTGGAGTGGGCAGGGACGGAGATGTGTCTTCCTCCCTCCATCCGGGCCCACTCCCCCCTTGCCTCCTGCTGCTTGGGGTCCAGGCACGTTCCCCGCTTCCCTGCTGCGGCAATGGGGGGAGGGGAAGAGTGGGCCTGGGCCTGATGCAGGGGGTGTGGGGGAGGACCGGGTCTGAGGATGGGAAGAATCCAGCCTACCACAGAGGTGGGGGGGGGGGAGAAGGGGGC